AGCTGGACAAGGAAGACCATTCCAATCCCAAACCCAGCAGAAGAAAAGAAATAACCAAACATTAGAGCAGAATTAAATGAAATTTAAAACAGATTATACAACAGATTAATAAATCAAAGTTGTTTTTTTAAAAGGTCAATAAAAGATAAACCTTTGGCTAACTTAACCAGAAATAAAAGAAAATCTCTAATTTCATCAATCAGAAATGGTAAAGATAAAATAATAGACTCCTCAGAAATTAAAAAATCTTAATATCATGAAAAACTGTTCTCAGAAATATGAAAATCTGAAGGAAATAGACCAATACTTGGAAGCACGCCACCTTCCTAAAGTTAGCCAGAATGAAGTGGAAATGTTGAACAGGCCTATATCAAGCTCTGAAATAGCATCAGCTATCCAAAATCTCCCCAAAAAGAAAAGTCCGGGACCAGATGGCTTCACATCAGAATTCTACCAAACCTTTAAAGAGGAATTAGTACATATGTTACTTAACCTTTTCCAAAATATAGATAAAGAAGAAATACTATCCAACACATTCTATGGAGCAAACATCACCTTGATCCCCAAACCAGGAAAAGGCCCAACAAGAAAAGAAAATTGTAGACCAATATCCCTAATGAATATTGATGCAGAAATATTCAATAAGGTCCTAGCAAACAGAATCCAGCAACACATAAAACAAATTATACACCATGACCAAGTAGGTTTTATCCCAGGGTCGCAAGGCTGGTTCAATATACGTAAATCTATAAATATAATTCATCCATTAATAAAATAAAAAACAAAGACTATATGATTCTCTCGATGCAGAAAAAGCTTTTGATAATATCTAGCATCCTTTCATAAGAACACTTAAGAAAGTAGGTATAAAAGCAACATTTCTTAAACTGATAGAGGCCATCTACAGCAAACCCACAGCCAATATTGCATTGAATGGAGTTAAAATGAAATCATTTCCACTCAGGTCAGGAACCAGGCGAGGTTGCCCATTGTCTCCACTGCTTTTTAACATTGTAATGGAAGTTTTAGCCATGGCATTCAGGCAAGAAAAGGCAATCAAGGGTATACATACAGGGTCAGAGGAGATGAAACTTTAACTCTTCACAAATGACATGATTGTATATGTGGAAAACCCCAGGATTCAACTATAAAACTCTTAGAAGTGGCTCTGCGCCTGTGGCTCAAGTGGCTAAGGCACCAGCCACCTACACCTAAGGTGGCGGGTTCAAATCCAGCCTGGACCTGCCAAACAATGATGGCTGCAACCCAAAAATACCCTGGTATTGTGGCGGGCGCCTGTGGTCCCAGCTAGTTGGGAGGCGGAGGCAGGAGATTGGCTTGAGCCCAGGAGTTAGAATGCCACAGCCACAGCACTCCACCCAGGGGGACAGCTTGAGGCTCTG